CGCAGTAGATTTTATTCGTGCAGCCTTGTTGAGTATGACCGAACTCTTGGCATCGGAAACATCTCTTGGTATTGAAGTGTTCCGCGATGCGGTGTCTTTGCCAACCAATGAACAATTTGGGCCATTGGAGGAGACTTCGGTAAGCTGCTGGCTGGCACTCCACGATCCATTTAACAGTATTTTCTCTGTCTTTGAGACGGTAGAGGATCTTTGCTGATGCTTTGGATAGATGGAACTCGGAGCTGAGCGCTTTTTCCAATTCTTCTGGCTGGACATCAGGTGACACACTGTGTATGGCCACTCTCGGTAATCTGGTCTGTGGTTGTCTGGTCTTGACCAGATCTTGCCCCTGTTTACTCTGTAGGGTGTTGACTAATTTCGTTGCGTCCTCTTTGGTTACGCAGTCTACCGCTAATCCTCCCTTCTGCAGGTTCCGGATGGTGCTAATTTTGACTCCCAGCTTTTGTAGTGGAAATTTCTCGTTGAGGACTGTTTTCAGGTCTTTGCTAGAGGTTGCTGTATTCTCTGTTGGATAAATGAGAATAGTATGCTTCAGCTTCGGGGCGGCAACTTGTGCGTAAGATTTAACGCGTGTGCTGTTGGAAAGCTGCCGTCTGTATGGTGATCGGTGCTGTGAGAACTTCTTCCTCAGTGTTCACACCTATTTCAGTAGTAGGCCGAGGGTTATCGCTGTCTGGACCCTGTAGGGCCAGCTCTCTGAGTGCTTCTATTATAAATCTTATTTGGTCTCGTAAGTCAGCTGGAAGTACTGCTCGTTTGCCGCACTTTGTTTTGCTGATGCGCAGAGCCTCGTCTGCAAATGAATGAATCTTCTCCGAGTAGCTTAGAGTGTCTCTCTGGGCTGGATTTGTAAGGTCGAGGTCCCTTGCTAAAATGGAGTTGTCACTTTCTTGCATATTTCATCAATTGCTTAGTTGCAGGAGAAAGTAAATTATAATCACTTTGTCGCTGAGAACACTATTGTGAACACTTGAGCTGTGTGCTAAACACAGATTGGGTAGAATACTGTTGCAAATACTTATACACTTGAACACAGAGCACTTTTATAAACACTTGGGATGTGTGCTAAACACTGATTGCCCGGAACACTTTTGCTAACACTTGCACAGTATATTATCACAGTATGACATTTGTACACATTAACACTTCGGCACTAAATTAGTGTTGCATTATGCACTACACATTATTCTTGGTGATCGTGCACATAGTTACACTATTTAAGCAATTATTACACAGTTACACTATTAAGCAATTTACACTATTTAAGCAATTAATTACCCTATTTAAGCAATTGTATACAATTTTTACTACACTAATCACTAAGGTTAATGTGGTGCAGATAAAGTTTTGATTACTTGAACACTGAATTAATGTGGCACTCTATACTTAATATATTATTGTCATTCGCTACCTTGTATATTGCACAAAAGTGAAAAAACACTGTTGAGCACAGTAGATATGCGAACCAAGGTGCAGTGAGTGAAGATAAATGTTAATTAAGTGGTACCGATAATCACAAATAATTAATTAATTTGAATAACTAAAGTTAGATAATTACTTTCACAAATGCCAGTTAATACATTGTGATTTATAACGTTATCAGAGTGCAAGAAAAATACAGTAATTATACTTGAGTACAGATAATAGGAGAACTGAGATACATAGCAAATTGGAGTAAATTTGGTAGAACCGATAAGTACAGATAATTAATTAATTTATTTAAGCGAAAACCTAATAGTCCGGTTTCTCTAAAGAGTGTTTTTTTTTTTTTTTTTTTTTTTTTTTTTTTTTAAAGTCTATACTATTCGTCACTTAAGGATGACCAGTAAATTTAATGTAGTTAAATAGCAGATATTTGCGGTAATTGGGAGACGAGATAATTAATTATTGCTGCTAATTAAAAAATTAAAGAACAAAAGGCCTACCTTGGCCGTTATGTTTCTTCTGTTTTCATCTGTTGCTTGCACTGCAGGTAATCCAATGTAATCCGATTGAGAAAAAACACAGAAATTATAGGTAAACACACACTCACACTGCACTGTATAATATCGCAAAAATTGAAGAATTTCTTAAGTCCCGAAAATTGCTGAAGAAATTAGTAAATTCAGAAGTTATTGACGGATTTTCTCCAAATTTTGAAACTTCCACTTCCTGGGGCTTGAGTTGAAGAATGCCGTTTATTCCAGAATGCTACGCCAATTAGGGGCTTAATTAGCAGGCTGATTAGTATTACTCCAGTACCTCTTGTTTACCTTTGTAGACTGGTTTCAATTCGAGGACGACGGGGGGTAGATGACATCCGGTTGACCGTCGGAGTGGGAAAAGGTCAGAGTTCACCAAATTAAAACGTGGTAAATCATATAAAAATTAATTTCGCGACTTCTAATTATCTCACTGCTATGAAATTACCCTCAAAATACTCGTGAAGATGTGGAGCGTCTAGCAGTATGAAAATCCAGGCTCATCGATGAAAGGTGACTGCTGGGAGGGCGTTCAAATACGCGTTGTAAGGCTTACTTGGGTATTCGAAGCATAGATGAAGCAATTAATCTGTAATTAATTAAACGGTGGACCAATCTTGAAAATTTTGCATCGATGTGCTCCTTAAGATGTTGACTATCCACTGCAGGTGATTTTAGCTAGATGCGCTGCGTATTTCCGCGAATGCTGGATTAGAAAACGGAGCAACTCAGTAAGATGACATGTAGACACTGCAATACTGTGGCTTATTGTTTAGATCAGATAGAAGAACGCTACCCCCAGCAAGGTCGGTGCTAGACCCACCGCGGCCTCAAAAGGCGGCAGATTTAAAGGGGGCCAAAAATTGGCTTTGAGAAGCATAATTTAAGAACGGCAAATTCTTTAGAATTTAGGAAGGTATTGTTAAATCTGACCTTCTTAGCTATCATACAGTTAACGTGATCTTACGAGGGAACATGACGACTTCTTGCACAGGCGTAAAAGACAGCACAGAAGAAAGGTAAAATAACCCTTTATTATTCGTCAAACTCTGAACACAAATGCACGAACTTCGTGCTTACAATAACACCAATGACTTGGGATTGAACTTAAGGATAGTTACACAATAATTTCAAAGATAAAGAGTAGTGCTAGACTAACAATTTAATTTAAGGCTAACTAGGCTGACTTAACAACCTGCTTGGCGATGTACTTATTAAATGGCCAAAAAAGGCATATCAGAAACTCAGCGTAACAGCAAGGACAAACCAGTAACGTACCCTGCCTAGCGAAATCACGCTTTGAATAAACTACAAGATTCGTCCGTTTAAATACTCACTTCCCTTAACTTTAAATTTGCATCCTGGCGAGAAAATGTGATGTTCACAAAGGTACTAAATTTAAAATAATTTTTTATGCGAAATAAGGAAAACTGTACATCAGCAGGAGCAGAATTTAGGACCGCAGAGATTGCACCGTGCAGCAAAATGCGTAGCGCCCGCCCTGCTCCCCTCCAACAACAACTAAAGGGTCGAAATTGTGATCCTCGCCAATACCAACCACTATATCATTATTGGTCTCGGTGCAGCTTTCTAGCCATCAGGTGTTTGAATGACATGCCAAAATCTTAGAACAGTAGGAAAATCGCATGTACGGCTCAATTGCTCCTTTCTGTTGAATATTATATTCTCTATTCCAAGATTTTAAAAGGCTAGAGTTTTTTTATTATTACGTACATTTGTTTATTCTTTTGGACGGAGATCCAGATATTACACGTCCAACTTTCGCCCTATGGGGGGATTTTCTTTTTTCATTATTGTATTTATTTACTTTATTTTTTGGGTGGTAGCCTGGAAGCACGGATATCAGACGTCCGGATTTTCGGATTTTGTACTTTATATTGATACAAATCACAATATATTAATTTAAAGAGTATAATGATAACTTCTGGAAACTCTCATTTTAACTACGCTATGAGTCATGTTGAAATCATAGCTCATTTTCTCTCGTTTTTCTCTCCAGCAATTCGGAAAGGTCTACAGTGGCACTCAATTAAAATGTGATGGACAATAATTCGTCACCATGTGGGCTTGGCCTGTTGGGTCTCGTTCCTCTCTCCCCAGCTGCCCAAAGAGAGAGAATATAAGAAATTATCACCTTCATGCGCGTGTTCTGGTGGTGTAACTGATAGCGCATTCAGCTGGCAGTCGAAGGATACGCGGTTCGAATCCGGATCCGGACAAGGGCATAGCTGATTTCGAACGTTCCTCGCTCCGTAAAATTCCAATTCAGACACAGTTTCTGCCATATATGTTTTTAATTATTTTATTTGATTGTTTTCCAAAAATATAAATCTTTAACTCGCTTTTATAAAGTCGGTAATATTATATATATTTAAAAAATACATTTTGAAGCCAATTTTTTTATTTGAGTTTTACGTCCCATATCGACTTCGTTATACACTGTATTATTTCCTAATATAGCAATGTAATGTTAAATCCTTATCTTCACCTTACATTTTCTAATCCTCAATTTACATTTTGTAAATAATGTGAACAATTAAAAGCCATGCAGAAGATTAGACGAGTGAGAATTGTTTCACAAGACACGATAAATTAAAGATTAATGAGAAACTGATAAAAGAATACTTAGAAGGTGCAATTTTGAGATTTTCCTCCAGTATCAAAATAAACCAGCATGGTTTATCAAATTACCCAAAATTATTTTATAAATACGAGTTTTTTTTATGCTGCTAGGATGAAATTTGAGATTTTTTTTGCGCTCCTGAAAGCAAGTAATATTTATCGCATTATATTCACAAAATAAATAAAGTTGATACTATAAGAAGGAATAATATATATATATATATATATATATATATATGCTGTTATGTTTATAAATATTATGTATAATATATATAAACATAACAGCATATATGTATATATATATATTAGTTTGTTATCTTTTCTTTAATTATATATATAATATAAACATAACAGCATAAAAACGGACAAACCTACCTTTAGAATGTGCAATTGGCAAAGTAACGACCTCAGCAATAAATCCATGATTTGAACTTCCACCAATAGTATGTAAAAAAACGCTTAAAGTATCACCAGAAGAGACATAGAACTTTTCAGCATTTTCTGATCCCAGATGCCATCCAATACTTGCTAGTTTTGTAACTGTGGTATTAAAGATATCACCATCAAAAATTTGTATTGAATCAGGTTTAGCGGCATATTTAGCTCCATCAAAAAGATTGAACTGTAAAAGCCTGAAACCAATCTGTTTCCCGTAATGCCGGGCAGTGAAGATCTTGACACAGTCCACAGGTTGGTTATCATACTTATAATATACTAGAAGTCTGTTTTCAAATTCCATTGTTTTATTAGTGTCACAAATGTCAACCATACCAAATATTCCATATGACATATCAATTGATTTTAAAGGACTATATACAAGCTTTGAAGCAGTTACATCACTAGATGATTCTCCAGTTAAAGAAAGAATGTTTACGCCAACTCCCATATTATTGCTGATTACAAGCTCATTAAAAGATAAACTACCATCAACTGCAATAATTTCAATACCATGCGATGCACATCCAGATATATTTACATAATCCATTTGAATTTCCCTTTGTATTAACTGAATTGCAGCACTTTTCTCATTATGAAGAACACCAGCACCTTCAATCTTAATATTTTCTAATTTAGAAGTAACAGTGGTAGCATAGCTGAGAGTAGGTCTGTTGTGAGGTGAATCAAGAGGCTCGAAATTGGAAATGGAGAAACGAATCCCTCCCCAGTGTTCCTCGCCGCCTGATAAAGTTTCTGGTCCGCAAGAGACATATACAAAATCTCCATCAAAAGGACATTTGTAATTATCAATATACCCATTTAGCCTGTATTCACACTCATCCAAAGCGGATTCTGTTCCTATGCATTCAAAGGGATGAGGCCAAGATCTAATATGGCTAGTTTGAGTAGGACCCATGTCCAGTCTTGGTCCAAATGACACATATACATTTAAAACATTATATCCCAGTTCTTTGCAAACAACCTGAGCATTTCGTTCAGTGAATCTTGCATCACAAACTGGAACCCACTGCTGAGTTGTAGAATTATAAACTTCAAGAAAACCATCCCTTCGTTCGCAGTTTTTTTCATTAACACAAAGTCGAGATCTAGGTTTGCGCTCCTTTTGTGAGCCGGCTTGCCTTCGGAAACGTCTCTCATTGAAAATTTTGGCAGGTTTTAAGATTATTGGATTATTTATTGTTCCCTGAGCAACTATATCTCCAAGAGCCAATATACCAACACTAGGATAGAACTCCAAAACAACACCTGGTTCTAATGTTAGTCTGACACCGGGCATTACTGTTAAATCTGAAGCTATCACATACCGTTTATCTCCCTCTAACATAAGATCATCAAATAATCTTCCTCCTAAGACTCCATTAACTGACAGCGATTGCTGTTCGTTATTAAATGATAAAGTACCTCCATCTATATTTCGAACACGTAAATAAGGAGCAAATTCTGCTATCGCATAGCCATTCCAGTCATCAAAATCAAAAATTCTGTTTTGTATTATTGTGGCATTGTCAGTACCCCACCAATTTTCTCTAACATTAATTTTTTTCTCAATAGATCCAGTCAGAACACCAGCCAGCAATTCAAATTGCATGTTTATATTTTCAAAAAGATTTCTTGTGATATTTATAAGCTGAACACCTCTTATGCCAACAGCATAACTTGTTGGTTGATATCCGAATTTTTGACCTGAACCTATGTCAAGGTTATGTGTAACAATATTTCTGCGAAAGCTGGCAGGAACTACACCAAACTTATTGGCATGGCTCTGTAAGTTAAATTCAATACCATGTGCTGCAGAATTGTTTGATATGAAATTGTCTTCAATTAAAAGTTCTTTCTCCATTCCTAAGAAACTCAATATTCCTTTTTTGCAAATATTATTTTCAAATATATTTTGAGATATATTTATGCGAGCAAAATGTCCACTTATAGAAAACTCAAATCCTCGATTTCTTCTCAAAGAGCAGTTATGCATAGCGAAAGAATGAGTAAAGTTTTCAGAGTACTGCCACACATACGGAAGTCGTATGTCAATGCCACCTTCAGCATTATTTTCAATAAGTGTATTGTTGATAGTCCAATGAAATAAATTATTTGAATTCCGAATATCTCGACTGTAGTGCAGCAAAACTTTTGAATTTTCGAGCATTGTGCAGTTTATAATGGTATAATTTATCTATGGAAGAAAACAAAAACAAAAAAAAAGTTAATCAAAAATCAAAAAGTATTTTATATTACTTAAACATTTTCATAAATATTAATTATTCTCTCTATATATGCAACATTCTAGATATTTTATATACAAAAATCAGATAGGTTATAGAAAGACAAGAAATTCTTTTAATTAGAGAATCAATAGTTTTGTGTGTAAGATATAAAGAAAAATAATATAACACAATATCCAAAAGAAATTATCATATTTTATCCTTCGGTGCTTGGTCATCACAACATTCTAAGTGGTGTACGACCATTGAGACCTTTACACTATATTGTTTCTTTACCCCTAAGATAGTCATATAGTACGGCATTCTTGAAATCCAAAATATGGAGTACGTCTGCACTTCTGTGTTGCATAAATAGAATCTAATATTGTAGTTGGATTGGCTCCAATCGACCAATCAAAAGTTAGCAGTTTTTACACACAAATACAAAATTAACTCAAAGTCTATTATACCCTGCTTTGATGGATACAAAGTCCAATTTTCTTGCTTTGCCAGGAGTTATCTCTACATATAATAAAAGAAAGAGTCTGTGTGGCTGCGCGTAAGCCAATACACCCAGGTCTACGGAATTTGGTATATACTAGTAGTTGCATCTAGACAAGAGCTATTGCACCTCGAAGCGATTTTTTAAAAATTCGAATCAGATTTTTTTTAATTTTATCTTTTCGATTTTATCGCATCATTTTGAATAGTTTCATTCTTTTAGAATGGTGGTTTTGGCAACAGTTTTTCATTCAATTATATACTGGACTGCTGACTGTTGAAAATCATCACTGTTGCCACATGGAAAAATGAGGGTGATAATTGTGTTCAGTTTTTAAATTTATTGTTTCTCTTCGATACTGGACGTTTGTTGAGAGAAGGAAACGGGAATTTGGTTAATTTATTTATTAGGATAATTAATATTTTTATTAGGGGATATTGCTTATTTCATTGTAATTTTGTTATATGTAATACATTTTTTTAAATTTGTAGGTTTTTTTAAAATTTTTATTTATTTATTTATTTATTTTTTACGAAGTTGTTAAGAGTTTTAATTCTTATAGTCATGTGACGTAAGTAATAACTGTTGCCATGTTAAATATGATTCAATATATTTTGTCTAGAACACATTAAAATATTATTATTTCTTAGCATTATTATAATTGTTAGTATTTTTATAAATATTAGAATTTCCTAGACATATTCTCCCAAAAGGAAATTTGGGAGGAAAATGGAACTACGAAATTGGCCATTCTCCGCATTTAATTTAGGAACACAAATACCTATATTGATCACTACGTTTCTGATAAACTCATATTTAGACAAAATTAGAGTATTCAAGAAACGTTTATTAATATAAAACAATTCTTACGCATATTTCCAGGAGAAGAATATAAGAAAAAATTATATTAAATATTATATACAGCAGCACTGCCGTTTAAAAATAAAATTAGTTTTAAAATTCTCAAAGCAGAATACAGATATTGCCGCCCTGCGTTTTAACAAAGCATAGCTATGTACCACTTTGAAGGCACGTATATAAACAAAAACCATAAGCTCGTAATGTTTCTAACTAACATTGTCTGTGCTTAACTTCGTAGAAGCCTAGTTGAACTATTTAATGACTTATCGCAGTGTCCAAGTATGTAAATGAGAAAGTCCAGAGAAGAGTTAACTCACCTTTTATTATCTTAAACTAAGAACACAGATGGCCCCTTTCTCGGGCTTACAGAAAAGCCTAACAACGAAACAACGAAGTAGCCTGACGGCAAACACGCGCCACTAAGAACTCCTAAGCTTTTCTACTGAAGTAAGCGAAGCCTTCCTTTAAGCACTCTTTCTACCTTATTTATATGCAACACGATATTAAAAACATACTGGTAGGGAGTAGGTGAGAAACGAGAATAGAGAGTAAAGCATGTTTAAAAATTAAAATAACTGTTAAAAATTTAAAATAATCTCTACAAGCTAAATAAGAATCTATATACTTATTTCAAAAATTCGTAAAACCATCGAAACTAGTCCTGTGAAAATTTTGCAAATTAACGCTGATTTGTTGTTTAACTTCTGAATTAGTATTTATTCGGCGTGTTATTGTGTCTTAATTATGAAAAATAATGCTTAATGAATTGCGTTTTGGGGATTTATTTAGAACTTTAATAATGATTTCATTATTTTAATTACTCTGTTTAATTACATATTCATGGCTCACCAGCGGCCGAGCGGTAAAAGCCGATGAACACTGGTAGTTCGGTCCGGGGTTCGAGTCCCGGCGAATGGGCTGGCTGCGTGGGCGTTTTCGTGGTTTTTCCCTCACATGTTAAAGTCGCTGAACACTGGTAGTTTGGTCGGAGGTTCGAATCCCGCGAACGGGCTGGCTGCATGGGTGTTTTCGTGGTTTTCCCCATGTGTAACGTGTTTACGAGCCAGTTTCCCGTAGAAAGTCCTCCACGAAGGTATTCCTCCCCTTAGGCAAATAGCATTAGTGTGCTTTGCCATAATTAAATACACCATTTCCCCCATATTTAACGTGGATACGAGCCAGTTTCCCTTAAAAAAAGACCTCCACGGGGCATACCTCCCTTTCCGTGTAGTGGCCAAAGGCGAAGCACGTAATAACAAACAAACAAACAAACAAACAAAAAAATCACATTTTTATATCCTTTGCCTTTATCTCATTGTATATAAAATAGAAATGTTTGCCTACTGCTATAATTTTCTGCTTTCATTCTAAATTCAGAATATCGGCTTACACATAATTTCGTAATAATGCCAGCACTTTTAATGAAAATTGAACATGCATAAAGTCAAAACCCTACAAATGAAGAGACAATGTAAAGGTGCTGCCAACTTTAATGTGAGATCAGGGTTATTTAGCTAAGAAACATCTTCTGTTAATATCCTACCAAAGTATCTATTATTCACTTTTTGGCATAATCAGAAAGGCAAGAAACATACAGTGCCCATAAAAGTCCTTAGTCAGCCTTCGTTTTTGCACTGCAGATTGTAGACATATGCTTCCAAAAAATTGTTTAAATAAGGCAAATATTCATGCTTTGGCATTTTTCATTCAAAAAGTAAGTTCTGTGAAAATCCTGTAACTTAATTTTTTATACCTGGTCCTCGGTCCGTACGATTATCCTTAGTAAAAATTTATGCTAATTACAAAAATAAAATGCAAACCTTTCACTTCCGTGAGACTTAAATTCAGCAGAGATACTTAATTTTAAAGTTTGAAATCATGTTTTCTGAAATTCAGGAATCGTACAAAGAGAATAAAATATTTAAATTTGGATGTAACTAAAAATGAAACATCAATTTCGAAAAGGGTTTCTGATGTTAAAAGACTAAGTAACAGCCACTGATATGCAGATTGTCATAAAAAGTTTTGATCGATGCAAATGTTCTCGAAAATGAGATCTTATTTACAGTGTCTTACAGAATTCCTGTTTTAGAAAACAGTATCAGAATAATCAAGTATTATAATATTGTCATCATGGCATTATTTGCAACAGTTAAAAAGTGGTTAAAAATGAAGAATATTCCTAATCCAATAAATTTAGGTTAATTCTTCGGTTATGATCTTAAAGCAATAAAATTGCATGTAGATATTATTAATAATTTTTTTAGTATTGTAAAATTTATAATTATTTGCGTGGAAAATTTCTCGGCATGCCAAATATAACAAATTATAATTTAAAAATTATTACACATTAATAAATCACAAAGTCAACTTTAAATTGTCCTTATTTGTTTTTAGGCTACCCTTCGAGGAAAACAAACAATAAAAATTGTTTCTTGACTCAAAAAAAAAAAAAAAAAAAAAAAATTATTTTTCATCATAGGAAGTCAAAACTTGGTCTTTTAAATTTTTGAAATGAGCGTAAACTTTTACAAAATTGATTTTTAGGATTCAAAAATGTCATAATATGAATATTTTTTCATTTCATACCTTTTTGTATTTGGAAATATAAATATACCAACGGTTGCGTAAATAAAGGCTGCGTAAGGACTTTTCTAAGTAGTGGACATATCTTCTGACCATCTTTGATGGATTTATTGAATAAGGAGACTTTTTTACACCTTCTTATAGCCTGGCATAATATGCCGTTTTAAAAAAAATGTTAGCTTTCCAATTGAAATGCTAATTATAATCCATAACTACGTGTTTGACAGAAAAATACAAATGCCAGTCGATTACAGAATTCAAGAGTTAGAAGTTTATCTGCAGCGTTGATAGTTAGGAAATTGAATCTTATTGAAAAATTACTGCCAACATGACAAGAGTCTAACTGAACGATTTACTTGAAGATATATTATAATTGAAGCATTTGCAGATGATTTCTTAATAGAAGTGAAAGGTAACATGAGGAAATTTCTGAAAAAGAACGCGAACTTAGTTTAGCGTGTATTTTCTCCCACCTTCCAGAATGTCTTCGTAGTGTAACGGTAGCGTATTCGAGAGGTCCAGGTTCGAGTCCCGGCGAGGGGCAGTGCTCATTTTTCCCAGGCTAAAAAAAAAAAAAAAAAAAAAAAAAAAAAACTAATGACTCTAGAAACTTACTTTCAGCATCAAGTTATAGATGTTAAGCCAAGTCAAAACACAAGAAATCCTTCTAGATTATCCAAAAAGATTTCAGCGTAAACCTATTCGTTAAGCACTTGCGTCAATAAATGTCCCAACAGCTAAAATATCCTGATGTTATTGCATCAGAAAATAGCACATTGACCATTCATTTAAAGCCCGGCAAAAGAAAGTACCAAAATAATTAAGGTATACTTAATGGCAAGGAAATCTTGAAGCATTCCTTTTATTCATCTAAAATCACTATCAAATAGCACTACAATCGAAAGGACTATGAAATTTGAAGAAATATCTTCTACCATTTATGATTTATCTGTTACATTTTTTTAGAAAAATTTGGAACAATTATGATAATCAACGATTTTAAGATAAAGTAATTTTTTTGTATATATTTGTATTTATTTGTATAATAATAATGAACCTTTAAGTGATTCAAATGTGCCCCCTCCACGCGATATGAAAAGAGAATGATACTGCCATACTTGGGCGTAGGATAATGTATGAACATTTGTCATTGTGCAAAGTCTTTGAGAAATACAGGCGTTTAAAATATGTCTGCCCAAAAGCTCTCTCTTAAGAATATGACATTTTCCCATCAGACGAAGAAAGGTGCAACGTTTTCCGATTCTATCTCTGGAAATCTCTGAACCAAAACTAGCAGAGGGTTCAGTTAATCATGTTGTTCAAGTTTTTGGGCCAATGGGAAGGTGCACCTTATGACTCCACCTATGTTTAAATAATGGGTCGTTTTATAGTTATATGCCCGACGTAGGGATAAGCTGGAACAAAAAGACTCAAAAGTGAAAATTATTTTTCTCATCTCAGTACCATGCTCGCATATTATAGTAACTAGATAGAAAGGAAATAAAATTAAATATATCTAGGTCTTTAAATTTCGCCTTTCAATTTTAGAATTAAACTCCTAAAATTCCATAATTCAAGTTAATAAAATGTCGATAATTTGTAATACCTGCATAATTCTTTCTAACGCTATACATCATCTGGCTTGTTCTTCGAGCTTTTGAATACTTTCATAGAAGCCAATTATTGCATTCTCTTATGGTTTGTATATATTTGAAACACCAAAATTATATCCTTTAATCCTTATCTCCTTTAATGCACGATTTTACTTTAGGAAAGAGAAAGTAAGGTACTTTTATTCCGGCATCTGTTATTAAACTTTTGCAAAATTATCGCCATGTTTCGATTAAGAAAATGATATATAAAAATACATAACAAGCGTTTGTTTCTCACTGAAATGTGTCACATGAATTAATCAATGTCATGCACTGAAGATCTGTTAGAAACGGTATTTTGGTACCACCGAACCAGTTTTCAAAACGTATGCTTTTTTTTTCTCTTGCAACTATTCACATTGCACCTCCAAATGTTTTCACTGAAAACAGGGCCTGCGCTAGACTTCCCGGTGCAAACGCCGCAAATCCAAAATTTTGCTGCCCGATTCTTTCTTAAATTCTAACAATTTTATCGCTCCTAAATTACACCGACCGGTGCGGTCTCACCGGGCTGCATCACATACCCTAGCGCCGGCTCTGATTGAAATCTAGTTTCATTTCGTGACCATTTTCGCATATTCGAATGCGAAGTAAAATGCTTCTTTCTTCGAAAAAGAGGACCGACACTAGACTTTTTGAAGCTCATTGCAAACTCTGTATCTTCTAAATTCTACCTTTCGGTATAAATTCTAAACATTTTGCTACCCCAATTGCACCGGCACTACAGAAGAGTGATAGAGCATTCTCATCATTCCCCTGTAAATAGTATTTTTTAAAAAATTTTTTGGAAAAAAAGAAAATACGTTAAAAAAACAAGAATAATACGTGGCCACTCAGAGTTCAACTCATGATAGGTAGACTGTAAGTATGTTTTGGCAATGGTTTGCGATGCACTTTTCTGCGAGGCCTTAGCTATAAAAAAAGTAGTTTCAGTAGTATGCAAGATGCCACAACTGGAGAATAATTGTACAATTCACGAAAGTTACATTTTCCTTTGGAATCAAATACTTGATGACAACTGCATTGCACGAAAGGGAGAAAATTCACTAGCAAATTCGCTTGTTCTGGCTTATGCGATAAATTATTTTTAAACGTCGATTCTATTGCTTCTTTCTATAATATATAAGTAACTCTGAAATTTTTGCAACAAGGGCAGATAATATGCATTAAAGAACAGTTTTTGGTTAGAAAACAAAATTGAAGTCTTACGTACGCAGACGATAATTTGTAGCAATAATTGTAATTTATCTATCGTAGAATAACTTTTAAAAGAAAGGAAAATAGATCTGATGCAAAAGCATTACCGCTCTGTGATTCTGTGCCGGATGAAAAACACACGGGAAGTCTTTTGGGAGCTATAATCTCAGAAATTGTGTCGGCTGGCCATGCCAAAAATATTAATCAATGATTATCGCTGTACCCATGAAATGGTACAGAACTTAGCGTTAATTCGTAACTATACATAAAAATATTCAAAGAACTGCATACGAAAAAATTACCTTGCCTTTGCTTTCCCCATATGTGAACAAGAAAAGCATTTAATATGCCAGAATCAATAAAGAAACCTTAAAATTTCTTAATGACGGTAAAACGGTAAACATCGCATTATTTTTTAAATCATGTCTGTTGATGGAACGTACATTGCGGGGGGGGTAAGAGTTCTATATCTCCCGTTCTACTGGGCCCATTGACGAAATTCAACTTGCGTTTTTCATGCTCGAAAGCGCGACTTAAAATATATATAAGATTTATATATAGGATTGTTCTAATATAGGTATTTTGACACAACTACGACACAAATTACGCCAAACTTCCAAGTTTTGTAAAAGTCGCACAAGTAGTTTTTAAAAAACTTAGCTCTCAAAATTTTAGCTCCTTAATGTTAATTGAGTTTGGTATATATTTGTTAATCTTTTTTTTAATTAAGCTTATTTGATTCTTTCTTTCACATTTCGAAATTCAGGTTCATTCCAAATAAAATTCACCCATTTTTTATGATTTATTTTTAAAATTTGTATTTTTAAATAATTTTTATAATTTTTCAAAAAATTTTGAATTATAATCTATAAATTTTTTACCATCAACTTACAGCTAAACGCATTTCTAAGCATACCTGCAAATTTATTCAAAATTTCCTAAGATATACGTGAATTTATATATTCGTGCGTTTTGAAATTTGGCATATTTGTTGAAAGCGATAAAACATCAAATGTGGTTTAGACACTTTGTTAAAATTATTTGGAAGTAGAAACGATGTGACTTATTTGCCCCTCATGCACAATGTAAAAAGGTAGGAACGAGGTGCCTTTTTTTTCCGCTCCGGCATAATGGAAGGGAACGGAAACTTGGTTGCCATATATTAAGAAGTTCGCCAAGTGAATTATTATTGACGAAAACTGAAAAAATTGCGCCAAGATAAATTTTTGAATTTCTCCGTAAATTTCGCACCGAATTTTTCAAAATTTAATATCTAGGCAAAATTTGAGTCGTAGAATCGAAATATGGAAAAAAAATTGGTATGTTATTTCAGAAAAAGTCCGATTTTGTGTCAAAATACCTAGGTTAGAACGATGCTATATATAAATCTAATATATATCTTAAGTCGCGCTTTCGAGGAATGAAAAACGCAGTTTGAATTTTGTCAATCGGCCCAGTAGAACGGGAGATGTAGAACTGTCCCTCTTCCTCCCCCCCCCGCAGTGTACATATCGGATTTTAACGTTCCAACACATCAGGAGAAAGTATGAAATGGTTCCTAACACCAATAATGGTGAAAAAAACGAACAAGGAAGCAAGTAATGTATATTGTTTTCATCAGAAATACAGGACTGGTCATAACCATCAACTTCAAGAGAACACAATTGCAGTAAGCTAACATGCCACTAACTGTCTCTAGAAATTCTTCAACAAGTGAATATTAGGAGACTCAACCTTTACCATAATGCATCTTATCATTCAGCGAGAACTGGCATTCGAATTTCTTGAATAAAAACACATTAAAGTGATAGAACACCCATCCAGTTTACCTGATCTTGCTACGTGTGATCTTTGTCTATTTTTTAATATAAAACAAAATTTACGTGGCTATCATTTAAATTCCGAAGATGAGACTGATGAAACTATAGAAGCATGTTTTTTCATCGATTCCAAGAAATGGATAGTTTAAAGCAATTAATCATCGGAAAATTCACCTACAAAAATGCATAGATGTTGTAGAAAACTCCTTTAAACATAACCTAAGATTTGGGAGCTTAGCAATTTCACAAAAATTTCAAAGTTACCCAAGTATATGATCTACTTCTTACCCTTTAATCTAAGTTTTTAAAAGTGAAATTATGTCGACTAAAACAATTCTTCTCTTTGTTTTCAGTTTTCCTCGGAAATGTGCGGAATCGTGCCGCATTACAATGCAGAGGAGCAGTCACGTCAGGCGGCGCCATAAGGGGGCAGCAGAAGTAGCGGAATCAAAACATTTAAGAGGCGGCATTTCGAAGATTTGCATCACACCGAAAAAAATCTACCGCATGGCAGTGGAGTTTTTAAACACCAAAAATCTTTCGTCTCTAAATAATATCTCTAATATTAATGCAAAGAAAAAAAAAATCATTTCTGTAAGGAAGAAGATATTTTAAAGGAAAAGGTAAGTTGAGACTATCAGCATTTGTGCTGCAAGCTATTGTTTGCTAGTGTAACCATTCACTTGCATGTTTTTCATAATAGCTTTCAACGATAGCGCCATCTATTAATAAAAATCGATAATTTCATAGTATTTTAGTGACTAGATAAAAAGCATTTTTAAAGTCCATTTGCTAAGCCTATTTATTTTCTACAAGAAAGAGAGATCGCTATATAGCACTACACTAATGCACATCACGAAATCAAATTTTACTCAGTATTCATATCATGTCTGATCACTAACCTAGAGTCGCTTCACCACTGTGAATTGATAGTGCCGACATCTTAATGAATCTACATAGGATAGAAAGTTAAAACTAACCTAACTTTTTTAAAACGGGACAAAATACATGCTTAGAGATCTTTACAGCGACGATCTTCAGAATGCCTCCCGTATCCAGCTGGTTGTCTTGTTGCAAAGAAATATAGTATCATTAGGTTTTGCGGTGATCGCCTTATCGTAAGAATTGTTGCGTACAGATTTGAATAAATGCACAATAAATATTTAAAATTTATCACATTGTTACATTACTAAAATTCACAAATATAATTCGATATATGTTAATACCTCTGCTAGATTTTTTATATATGGATCCCAGAAAGGTGTCCACACAAACATTGCTTCCGATCTGCTGTAGGAAATATCTGTGTTGGTTATAAGAATAGTCTCATTGGTGTAGCGATGAAAGTGGTCACCATAATCGCTAACATCTCTGTTGTAATGATGACTTGAAATTCCTCTACTGCAACCATGAATTTTAACTGAATTGATGTGAATTGACGGGTGAGTTTCCCAAGCAGCTTTGTTTCTTTGGCCTAATAATTGAAAGGAAAAAAAATATAATTTCATAATAAAATATACATTACTCTCACATCTTTAATTTATAATTTCAACTGACACAGCCGCATTCAAATTATTCTTATAATATATTATACTAGAAACTCTATTATCCTTGCTCCTTCAGTCGACAGTTTCTATTATCCGTCAACCACTGAGCCACTCCTATGAGCAAAATGAATTCACCCAAACCAATAATTACAATAATAAATGCGGCTTAATATTTAAAGTAAGCCGCATTAAGCAATAAAATATAATTGCTTTGTCGTAATACACAGAATAAAATGATAATATACTGTTTTATAGAAAACAACGATTCTACAGTAACAAATGAAACTACAAAGAAAATTTTTTTCGTTTAAAGTTACCATGCAAGTTCTGTTACTTACACAGTTTAATACCATTTGCATATTCATTAAATCCGAAGAATAATTTAAAAATATTATGTTCTATATTAAAATATATTGCCGAATATAAATTATATTGCCGAATCAGAGTATTCTGAGAATTGCCCATGCGCAAAGACTCATGTAAAATAAATTAAAGATCATACGTGACGCGCAGTGACAACACTTACCAAGGCAAGTGGATGGTATATGCATGGCAGCATAATCTAACGTAATTTAGCGACAAAAAATTAAAAGGGGGGGGGGGAAACACCTCTTTTAAAGATTTGTCTAACGTCAATAATATAACATGTAATCGTACTCCCTGCATTGCACGGATTCAGTATCCGCGATTTCAGTTATCCGCGTTTGAAACAAGTTAAGTATGATATTGCCACGGTAATCATGACTGTATGTATACACGTGCAAGCACTTTCCTAACGGATGTAACTAAATGGAAGAGAGAATGAAAATGGTTACTTTCAGAACCTCATGCACTTTCTCAGGTCATAAGTCGCTTCTCAGGATTGCGCTTTTCTTAACTGATCTACTACCCCCCCCCAAATGACGAATATAAAACCGTAAGCAGAAGACCACGCCAATCATTGATCATCAAAACATCTGACTTCACCTACTCCTCCACATACGCCTTCCACCAAAAAAAGGGGGGCACAGTTCTCTATCTGCCGTACTACTAGGCCATTTTACGAAATTTAACATTTTTCATGTCTCGAAAGTGTGACACTGCGACTTAGTATATATATATATATATATATATACAGTACAAAGTCCGTAATCCGCACTCGTCGGGACTTTGGCGATTCCGGATTAGGGGTTTTCCGGATTATAGAGCATCAATTTAAATCTGGTAAGATGGCATGTAGAAATTATACAATTAAAATTATGAAACCGTAATTTATGAAATAAAGAGCAATTATGATCTAAAGGGTATTAAAATTTACAAAAAAAAGAAGCTTAATATTTATTTATTTACTTTATTAAACATTTCTTTCAATGTAAGTTGTTTAAGTTGCTTCTATTTTTGTGCTAATACTTTTCTCTTTAATTCTATAAACAGACATAATTTCTTGTTCAGCTACAAAGTTCCACTGTTCAGTCAATTGAAATTTTTTCATTTTCAATAACCTCTTTGTCACTTTCTTCACTATCGGAAGTGGTATTTTCTGCATCTAGAACCATACTACAGATTTCGCTGTCCGTTAATTGATTGATGATTGGGGTATTGTCATTGCAATGAAAAACTTCTATTATATCATCTTCATTTATTACCGCTTCTCCACATTTCTTTACAAAATCCAATAACTGGAAAATTTTACCTTTAGTTTGCGATGTCCGAAAACCTTCACTATGAAATATGGTAGCTGGCCATAAATTATGCCAAGCATTTTTTAACGTATCTGGAGACACATCCTCCAAACGCGCATGCGTAAAACGCATGAAAAAGTTTGTGGCTTTGAGGTCTGGATTATAGATCATTACGGATAACGCACGTTCGTATAACGGACTTTGTGCTGTATATATATATATATAAATAAGATTTACAAAACTAGAAAGTAGTACACGAACAAGAGACACCTATGTGGTCAAGAATTTTGCGCATTGATCTGCAAAATTTTAAAATATTTGCAAAGAAGAGGAAAGTTTTAAAAAGCTGTTGCTTAAAAGTACATTTGATCCTGTAGTTCCAGAGTAAAAAAGTTACACCATGTATTAAGAATAAGACAAAGTAAAAGTTAAGTTATCGCGTGAAAAGTAAAAAAGTAAAAGTTATCGCGTGAAAACTAAATGTAAAAATTACAAAACGAGATAAAACTAATAAATTTTAAATAAAAAAAAAATTTAAATGCTGCACGCAAACAATAAAAAACATTTCGAAGGTAAAGAAAATATATACAAAGGTTATGTATGTTTGTTTTATATATACACTTTTAAATTACAGGCGCGTCGGAAAAAGAAGCAAAACCATTGAGACTTACTATATTAAGGTGATTTAGTTTAATAATTATATTAATGAAATTCCGCTTTTAGTCTCAATTGTTTTTGTTTGACGAAACGCGCTAATGGTGTTAACTGGATTCGAGTTTTATCACGCTTTTCCCTTCATAAGTTCGACTTAAACCTCGAGTTGAGCTAATTTAGCATTTATTGCAATTCTTTGTGTATATTTTCTTTGTTTTTGAAATGTTTTTGATTGTTTGCGTGCATCATTTAAAAATTTATAAGTTTTATCTCGTTTTGTAATTTTTTACATTTAGTTTTTACGCGATAACTTTTACTTTTTTAGTATTGTATTATTGTTTATACATGATGTAACTTTTTTACTCTGGAACTGCAGAATCAAATATACTTTTAAGCAATAGCTTTCTAGAACTTTCCTCTTTTTTCCAAATTTATAAGATTTATATATAGCATTGTTCTAAAATAGGCATTCTGACATAAAAATCAGACTTTTTCTGAAACAACATATATTTATAATTGAAATTTTGTAATTTTTTCAATCGAAGAAGAGATAAATTTTGATCTAAAACAATTTTCTTTGTCTCGGCAATTGTTCCATTTAAAAAAGTAAAGAACTCTAGTTTTCTGAACTCGGATTGTTTTTCCGTCGATATTATCTTAATTAAAAAGTTGTTCTAATTAGCCTGCCTTCAGTTGATTGGTAGCCCTGCTAAGCGGGATGAGTTGCATAAGCTTCAAATTTAAATTACTGAAGCTTAATTACATCATATAAAGAATGTTTAAAAATATCGATTACGTTAGTTCCGGTTTAAGAAATAGATCAAATAAGATATACTTTTAGACAATAGCTATATTACAGATTTTTGTAGAAATTATATTTATCTACGGTATCTGTATAAAAAAAGCTCCATTTGATAGTTTGTTCCTTATCATTAGAGCAATAATTTTATCTTGGACGGGGGCAGGTGAAGCGCAAAAATTCGCAGGTTTTCTGCGTCCTGAGCTTCTCACTAAATATTTCATGGTCCAGGATTTACATTAACATTTTGGAGAAAGGTGTATATTAGAAACGATCCAAATAAATAAAATAAATCTATGTAATTAATTAATATTTATAATACACATTTTAATTGACATTTATAAACTGATAGATAATTTAAAGTATATTTATAAACCAATCAAATTTTGTATTCAGCAGGTTTATGTTAAATGCAGGTTACCATTGAAATGGATCATGTGTTCATATATAATTTGTATATATATATATACTTGCATATACAAAATTTTCTTCGTTATGTAGCGCATTTTTCAAATAGTTGATGTGGACACCACATAACTTCCTTGTACGCTTTATTTAAATTAACACATTCTTTGCTGCATTTCATTTAAACATATTTCCTCGAATTTTATTAGAGATTTATTTTTTATTCAATTAATTCAACTCTCTCTCCGCGGTAAGACAAATATATACAAAATCTCGAAATATCTTCATTAAAAAAACATAAAATACAGAAAAACATAAAACATCAAATACAGTTAAAAACAGTTTAAAATATCTGTTGCGGACACCACATGACTTCCTTGTACGACTTGTTAAATTTTACGCATTTTGGGCTGCATTTCATTTAAACTTATTTTCTCGAATTTCATTAGAGATATGCAATAATCATTCAAATAATTCAGTTCTCACTTCGAGGCAAGACAAAAATACATAAAAACTCAAAATATTTTCATTAAAAATTGAAAAATATAAAAACATAAAAACCCAAACACAGTTAAAACAATTAAAAAACAATTTTTACAAGTAAAATTAGAGTTTCTACCTAAAAACAAGCAATTCGGCTAGGGGGCAAAAAGGCAGCTTTTTCAGTGCACAAAACTGAAAGTTGACTTTTAGGTCCAATCGGCAAAAAGACACTGAAGGTGCAGAAACTGCCTTAATTCACTATTCTGCTGAGTTTCAAATGTAAACAAACATGGCTGTTCATTAGGCAAAAATCCAATCACTTTTAAAGCAAGAAATGCGCAATTTACCAGCATATAAGAATAAAAATCTAGCTCACCGAGACAGGTGCAGATGATTGCAACGAAAAAGGAAGGTGTACAACTAACTACATGTTTTAGCAGTCCCATATACAAAATTTTAACATTCTATGGCTACTCGCTCTTGAGTTATGAGAGATATATACATGCGTACGTAGAGACGTCACGAAAAAAATCTCTTTTGAATCCATTTTAAATCCATTCTGCAATTCGTTTTGGGAAAAAGAGTCCTTTATTCTGTCTTTATATATAAATGTCACGCAAAAAACATCGTTTAAATGAATTCAAGAGCTGCCAAAATGGATGTTTTCATTTGATACCCGAAATTTTTCGTGGTTACAATCCTTTGGCGCTGAAACTGTCGGTATTAATAGGTGTTGAAGGGAACCTTTATATGACTCCAAGAAACGATTTTTTTTCTCATATTCCAGTAGTCCAGAAGAATTTAAAACACAGCTTTTTCATTTGGGTTTTGAAATATAATTACTCTTCAGTGTATTTCTGCGGAAATATAACAGAATGCAGGATAAAAATTATTGTACTATATAAATAATCCAATAAACTGACTGAAAAAAAATTGTAAAAACTACATGAATATAGGGTCTTCCTAAATTTTAACAAACGATATCTCAGGTAATTTTGATCGTATAAGAACGGATAAAATAACTTGTTAATTTATTGAATATAAGAATGAATCAAATAATAATTTTTTTAATCATTCATATAGTCATTTTACAAAGACCAAAAGGTATTATATGTTTCTGTTAAGTAGTATCATATAACTAAAATTATCATAATCTGAAGACTTAGATTATTTCTTTCTTTTCTGCGATTGAGAATACAGCTCTACACCCAGTTGTTCAAAATATTTTTAATTGTGCATTATTTCTAAACATCCTTGTACATCACATATTTTAAAAATACTTGAAAGCATACTACAAAGAATGCACAAAAAATAAGTATCATATTATATTGATCATACACAACACAAACTTACCATCTACAGATGCAATATACACTATTGCTTCTCCGCTGGGATTCTGTCCAGACTGGTATTCAACCAACATTCCGTAACCAGGAGTTCGCAGTGGAAAGGCAGTTAAATTCTGTCGTAAATCCCAATGCTGAACGTCAGGAACAATTTCCAGTCTTCCATAAATTTTCATATTTTCAGAAGAGGACTTTCTAAAAGAATTTAAAACTATAATTCCAATGCTTCGACCAGGTGTTGTTGTCACGCTAAATTTCTTATACATGGTGCTTCGGCTAAATATTAAATATCGGTATTCATCATAATTAAGGAAAATATTGTTCTGAATGTCGTCTGGAACTTTTATTACTTTACCAGGCTCTTCAAGGTTAATCCATGAAATAAGATCTCTTTGTTCCATCTTGGAAAACATAGGATTGTAATGAATACCGCTTGCAGCATTCCGTGACATATCACATCTATGAATATTTAAGCCCTGAGAATGTACTACTAAACCATGACGTCTATTTGAAAGCAAATAACTATCAACAATTTTCTGCCTTTCTGGAGCAAACATTTCATTCCACATTATGCCAACGCCAGAATCTGTATTATTTTGAATTTTCAAATTTTCTAGATGATGTTTATTAAAATCTACTTGAAGTGCTGGTTTAAAGCTGTTAGTGGCATAATCCAAAAGTCCAGCAAACTCTATAATAACATTTTTCAAACGACTTTCTTCAGCAGACATTCCAAGCCTAAGGCCAGACCAAGACGGAGGATAGCAGCGCAGTCCAACCTTTGTAGAACATGAATTTTCAAAATCCTTTTCAGCTTTGCAAAGAGTAATATCTGTATCTTGCAATGTACACTGAAGATTTGAAAGTCTAATTTCATGTCCTGATTTATCAAATTCTGACTGTTCCAAGATCCAGTCTTCTGGATGCAATACTAAACCCATCTGATTACAGGCAATGGATGCATCAACTATGTCCCAACCATAATCGCAGACACTGGCCCATGAACCGTTAACCAAAACTTCCAACAGGCCTTCTGTGCCTCTTGATAAGCGCACTTTAGATTCATCATTTAATTTTTTTGCTTCATTTATTGTATAAGTAATGGGTTCAGAAGCATAGCCACTTTCACTTAATAATCTTCCTTGAACCATCATTCCAACCGACCTATCAAATTTTAAAACAGAACCAGCTTCTATCTGCAGTTTACCATTTCCAGGTCGTACAAAAATGTCCCGTTTGACAATATATGTACCTTTCTGCAATGAAATAAAGCCGGGAACTTCCCCTCCGATTTCTGATCCTGTTTGAAATGGAATAATTTTATCTCTTTCGTGAACATCTGATATGGCTGTTTTAGTATCAAGATCTGATGACAAAGTTAAATGTGGCAAAAATTCTATCCGCGCTAAATTGTATCTATCTTTTCTATCAAATATTCTTTCATAAATTTTATGAACATTGATACTTCCCCAATAATTATGCGTAGCATTTATCATAATGTGGTGTTTTTCTAGATGCGAACCCAGGTCGTAAAGAGACTCAAAATTTTCAAAACGATTTCTATATACATGAGTATTTTGTGAAGTCACAACTACAACAGCAGCAACACGAGAACGAGGATTCAGCGAAGGAAAAGGCTCTTTGATTACGTTCCTTTCAAGATGATTTTTATAAAATAGTAAATCTTGAAAAGAAGTTCCCTGGGCTACTCCAATGCTAACCACAAATTTGCCGTAGTTAAATGCAAAGTAATTATGCTGTATGTCAATTTTAGCACGGACGTTTGAAAAGTTATCATCGTCCAAGCCATTCACAAAAAGTACGCCTCTTTCATGACCAGTAAACTCATTATGCTCAACTAGTAAATGGGTGTGAAGTATAGGAGATGCTTTCACAGCAAAATAATCGCTGCCCAAAAACTGGTTATGTGTAACTAGAACAATACTTTGAGCAGTATTTTGTTTCGTAGACCAACATGAAGAAATCAGTAAACTACAATCTTTATTATTACGAAAAGAATTTAAACTAATGTTCCAAAAGGAATCGGATAAGCACTGATTTCCAACGAGAATTCCGTATAAACTATTATTTACAAATTCAGAACGTGTTACATGAACACTATGGTTATAAGCTCTATGATCAGATGTTTCATTGAACCAAAAACCGATACCTCTGCCTATGTTGTTACTGACTGACGATCGATCAATATGAACGAAACCTCCGGCATATGTAATATTGATGCCATCCCCCCGATTGCCAGTTATGAAAGTATTATTGACAACTACATGACCACTTCCTGTTGAAATATCTAATCCAGCCATGTAACTATTTTCATTTAGAAGCGAGCTATTAACTAATATCCCAGATCTTTGATGGTGGACTGTAATTCCTTTCCCTAGGTTGCTTGTAATATTGCAGTTTGTCACGTTTAGATCAAAAGCTCTGCCTAAAAATTAAAAAAAAATAATAATAATTAATTTACTTTGAAGCCATTTCACAATTATAAATTTAAATTAGAATATGAAAAAGCGTCTTACCATGATTGGCAAGAATTTCAATGACAAAAGCAGCGTAATAACCAGGTTTGGGTCGATATTTTAATAAAATCTTTTCTCGTGAGCTTGTTACACTCTCAGGAAAAGTGTTATTTAGTACAGGCACCGAAGCAAGAAGTCTGCTACTAGTAGATTCTCCATCATAAACTTCAATGTGTGAAGCATGTGCTGAATCCGTAAAGTCACTCGAAAAGCCCATAAAATTAACAGTTAAAACTTGTCCAGTTCTTCTGGAGACTTGAAAGACCTATGTTAATAAAGATCATATTTTTATAAATAACTAAACTATGCACATTGGGAAAGCAAAACAAATTTTCTTTAACAAATACATCGAAAAACAATAACGTTTCTTATTTCCGTTTAATCGATTTTTAAAAGGAAATCGTCATTTATGATACATTTAAATAAATGAAAAAAGATCTTCTATGCTTTATTAGCAGAAAAAAATTGGTACGTTACTCACCAGTATTTTTTATCCAATTTCCTTATTTAAGTGTTTTCTTATTTAGAAACGAATGTGTAAGAACTTATTGCACATGTTTACTTAACTCTGTAGGGTTTATTTTAACAACGCCTTTTTGTTCAAGTTAAAATTTGATTTGTACTTTTTCGTCTACTCAACCAGAATATATAAATGAGAGGAGATATACATAGAAGAAAGAATCTTAAACAAATGAAAATTGCTATGCCAACCAGCCTTAAAAAGACTTCTGTATTTGTTACTAATGTGAGCGATATTCTTTATCCATTGATAAGTTAAGCTTTTCGTGTTGGAAATTGAATAGTAATTCGTAAAATTAATTGACCCAGGCGCTAGGTTAAAATTTAAACTTGTGGAAATATAAGTAATTTTAATTCTATGTTTTTCGATACTCCCGCATGAAGCGATAATCAATTTGCGTTAGCTGATTTCAGTTTTGTCCTTCAAGTTGAAAACATAATAAATTTTAGCTGTTTTTCTTTCTGTTGCATTCATTTAGGGTTCTGATATTCTAGTAAATATCAGGATCTTTCGGGCTAGATTATGCCAAAAGTGAATTATATGTAACATCTTATAACTCTTTGAATTGAACTTAAAAAAAAAAAAAAAAAAAAAAAAAAAGAGAGAGAGAGAGAGGGAAAAGAATCACTTAACTGATTTTCTTGCAGCGCATTTTAAATTTGAGGTTTAAAACTGCTCTTATTTCAAACGCTTTTACACTGCTAGGAAGAGTTCGCCCTAATTTACGGAAGCGAAGCATTAAAGCAAACTTATAACAATTTCGTGTACATAGAAGACAGCGACTTAAAAGTAAATTTATTACATATGAATTTGTAATTTATACTATATAAAACTTGATAAGAAACAATCAAAGATTAATAAATAGCTAAGCGAAAATGACACAATATAATTCACAGTAAGAAATCTTTATGATGCATCCTCAAGTTTTATCAACTTTAGAATGAGAATTACATTTCAGATATCAAAAAGGAAATAAAAATCGACAACAGTTAAAGCCATTTCAGTCTCTAATTTAACATAGAACGTAGAATTAAAAAAAAAAAAAAAAAACTGAAACAGATTTTACATTGCGCCCAAAAGGACTTGTGCTACCTTTATTTGTTAAATATCATGTTCTTCGCACTTAAACCATAAAATTCAGTTCAACAGCAATATCGCAAAATAATTTTAAAATGAGCATATCTTTAGATTTCCGATGCAGAGTCTCGCGCGTTGGAGATAATTTTTTTTCCATACAGTGTTGCCATTGCTCGCTTTGAAATCGTTTTTTTTTAATCGAAAATTCGTTGAAGTGGTACAAAATATGAAATCGATAATAAAACAAATTTCAAATTCAAATTAGAGCTTCCACATGCCCATATTCTATGGAAGATTATGTTACTCAAAATTTGATGGCTCTAGGTACCGTTGTTTTATCACAATGGGACAAACATACATACATTCAAGCAGATTCTTCATTATTTAATTTCTTTAAATATAACACAGAGCGATATTTGGTGGCAACAATTTGAAAAGTGAACTGACATTTAAAGTTTTCAACGCAAAATGCCAAAACGAAATTAATAGTTCTTCTGGGCTAACAACCTTTGGGCTAAAAAAAAAAATTCTTTTTGTCAAATAAGATTTTTTTTTTTTTTTTTTTTTTTGTTTGTTTGTTCTCAAACCTTTTCGAGCGCTCTCCCTCCCTGAAAATAACGCTATAATAACCTTCGACCCTATTTATAATGCGTAATAAACACAACCTGGAATCTGTATGTTAAAATATTTGTAAGTGATAATTTCCAGGCATTTAAAAAAACTGAAATTTATATAAATTTTATATTTACTTTAGATACATATAAACAAAATGTAAAAATAAATTTTCCGAATAATTAAAACAAAAAATATTGTGGAATTTATACGATAACCCGAGGTGTGTATTCCATATTTATTTAATGTGATCGATGTGCCTAAGTTCTACTGCGAAATAAATCACTAATTTGTCTTGCATTTTACTATATTGCGATCTTACATTACTTTCTAATGATGGTGCAGATGTTTTCCGTTTTAATATACAATAGTGATGAGTATGCTGATTCTCATATCTAAGTCGTTGCGAAAGGCACTACAATATTTATGGGTAAAAGGATTTGTTATTTGATTTGGAAACTTCTTTATTTTCCTTAACTGCGAAGTTAGCAAGGGCAAATAAACATTTTTAAAATTAGCTTTCGCTTTGTTTTTCTTTCGCGGGGGGTGGGGGAGGAAGTTGGTTATTCTACCGGTAATTGACAGAATAAAATTTTGAAGTACTGGTCGTTCATCTGAAATTCTGTTCCCGCCGGTTGAACGGGCTGGTGCATGGGTTTTCGAAGTTTCGCTATGTGCAACAAGAATATGAGCCAGTACTTCCTAATATATCTTCCACGAAGTTAATCTTTCTCAGCAGATAATCCTTGCCTACTTTTCTTAATTTAATCGATCAACTAATTAACTGTTTCGATGTTTAATTTATTTAGTAAAAATACGATGGAGACGATAATTCGATAATTACTATAGAAGTCTAGGCAGCTAATATATAAGTTAGGAAATTAAGAACGTTACACGATTACTTAAACATGCAAAAATATGTTTAACAGAAAAAAATAGAAGTTTTCTCTCTCTCTCTTTCAGAACTATACGAGCAATGCAATCTAACTAAGGAATACAGTTTAAAGGAAACAAACAAATCGTGTATTATATAATATTATTGACCTGCAAACCAAAAATCCTTTTTTACTTCTGCCAAAATCATCCAAGAAACTTCCTCCGTTTGTAAATTAGACTTCCTTGAGGCTTTCCCTCTGAACAAAAATGACTTTATTCAAAAATCTCTCTACATTAATCAACGATTTAAATTCTAATCCTATTTTCTACCAGTCTATAAGCAGATTATCGCTTAATCTGATTCCATTTTTCATCTTTTAGATAGCACTTTTTTTTCCCATTCGCTCTTTCTGTTTCTCTTCGTAACAGAAAGCGTGGCTGTTAGCTGTTAGTTAAGTTCTCGAAAATTTATTGATCTCACTTCCTGTTTATGACAATTGCCTTTCATTTAGTTAGTAAAATAATTCTGTTTTATTGCACTGCATAGTAAACTTATTTACTATTATAGAAATTACCTTGCATAGTAATATTTAAAAATATATATACCCTATTTAAATCGCCTTCTATCTGTGTAAAGGGTATGCATTCATATTACGTAATTTAATTAAAAAAATACTTACCTGAGTGCAATCTGAAAAATAAAATTGGTCTGCCGTCTGAACGTGACTTCTCCACACAGGATAAATTTGTTCGTCACCTATATTACCGGTGTCACAGAGAGACGATGCTTTACCAAAATGATCATAGTGTGTAAAGTGGATACCATTACCGCCATTATCTGCAATGCTGACTCCACTAAGAGTAGCTTGACTAACGCTGCTGTTAATAAAAACGCCATGACCTGGAGAGACAAAGGTAAATCTGTTGAAGGCTGATGGCCAAAATACTTCATATGTTTTATTACTATTATTTCGATTAAGAATTCATCAAATTAGTATTAATCATCTGTATTCTTAAATGTCAGATCAAGAGTAATCAAAGATACAACTTTTAGATTTAAACGAAATTTTATTGTTGTGAGGCATTATTTAGGCATAAACTGAAACATAGCAATTCATTCAAATGCATTTTTAAAATATTAAACTCAATATTCAAATAATTGTAATTTATTAAGCACCACATAAACTAACAAATGATTTAAATAAAATGATAATAATTAAATTAAATCTTATTGTAAAATTATTGAATAGGGTGTATTGAAAGTACACTAAAAAGCTTGTAAGCTTTACTTTAAACAATATGCCATTTTACGTTAATTCTTTCCTGTTACCACTCTTTTTATCAGTTTCATTAAAGTACAAATTAGTTGAAATTTCAGTAGCCAGCCAATGAATGTGTTGATATTTAGCGACAGAGTTTTGGCAAACGCACAGGGAAAACAGTCTCACTCTTCAGCCGCTCACCTGTTGATTAAGCTGGTTTCTGCGAGCGTTTCATGGTATTTGCTAGCATATATGCAGAAGTCAAAAGTAATTGGAGACCAGCTATGTAGATATTAAATCTTGTTGAAGACTGACTGACTGATAACTTATAGCCAGAATACCACTGAGATCAGTAGTTTATCTGGCTCAATCAAATTTATGCCGGATGGGCATAAAACTATCTTCACATAATGTCGGCAGTAAGGAGGAGAAAGACGGATAAAGAATAGGAAGACCAGCAACGCAAGAGCTCACTAGCAAGTAACCGGCCCGGTAAAGGCGTGACTAAGTGGGAGTCATAAAATGAGTGTCTTGTTGAAGTCTCTACATATTCAGGTATTTATTTCCTAAAACACTGTAAAAAGCGGTGGATAAGTTTTATATTTTAGTTGTGACTATAAGGCGTATTATGTTAATAAATTTTCAGTTCAGATTTATCTCTTCTCTATGTTTCTTAGAACTCTAGACTTTAACTAAAGTAAAAAGACGATAAATAGCCCGAAGTAGAGAAAGATTGAAAGGGTGTAATTTACAAGCTGAACTTTAGCTGCATATTCAGATACTCAGTTAAAACTTTTAAACATTTTATTAGCTGAATTGTTTAAAGTTTTAACTAAGTAGTTAATAATGAGAAATCCTATATAATGCAATAAGTACTACAATATACTAAACAAGTATTTTAAATTAGGAATTTTAATTACTTAAAAAGAGAACTGTATTAAGCATAAAAAATAAATTATTCAATACTATCGTTGCAAAAATAAGTTATTCTTAAATTCATTCAAATTTCTACACAAATTTTTTTTAAAAAGGGGAAAGAAATAAATAACTTATAATATTAATAAAATAAAATTATTAATTAAAAATTTTTCAAAATTTAGCAAATAAAATTCAAATTTTAAAATAATTTCTTCATTAATTACTCATATTATGAATATTATTTTACTGCAAAATTTATGTACATTTTGCTTAATATAAAAATAAATTTACAACTAAATGCAGAAAATATTTAGAATCCAGACGTTAAGGAAAACTTAGCATGGAAACAGAAATGAACCAAATTTAAAATATTAAATAACTAATACTCGGAAATATTATTTCAAAAATGCACAAAATGCATTTGTAATTTTTGCTAAAATTTTGAAAAGCTCTATTACACACAAAGAATTATAGGAAATAAATGCATACGAAAAAAAGTGATTAGAAAAATTGGGCGAAACAAATACATAACAATAACATGCAAAAATACTGTCATTTCAAACAAGGCTGATTTTAGTTTCGTTTTGAATGGAACAGCATGACAGCTCGGGCATACTGAAAACATAGCGCTAAAATGCTTTTACGTGTATACACACATACAGTGACCACGATGACAATATTATACAATATAGCAATATACTATTTACACGCATATAATGCACTGTCGTTTACTATGGAGAAAGACTGTTACACTGAATTTATCCCATATTACTCTGGATAAAACAAAAGTCCTAAAATTTCAATATTAAATAAAACAAAATTACCTCTGTTTTCAGCTATGGTGGTGTTTTCAACTATAAATGCATCTTTAGGCTTGTAAATATTCACAGCATCGAACGCAGCGTGCCTAATATCGACGTTATTCATAACTGGTGGTTGACCAATAACTTCAAGGGCTGCAGTAGCTCTGCCATAGATATCTCTCCCGGCATAGGAAATGTTTACATGTTCCAAAACTGATAGGGATACATAGCGAGTAACTTTGTTCTCAATCGACTCCTTTAGTTTAGCTTCATTAAACTTAATGCCTCTCCAGTTAGATGAACTATGGCTGCCCAAGTAATCATCACATTCTATTCCAATGTCAAAGTGGAAATCTGCAAAACATTGAACAGATACATAACATGTAAGAGAATGAATCTTTCAAACCATATATAATTTAAATACGATATGCTGTCAGGTATATTAATTTAAATTACTACTAGGAAAAGTTTAAAAATTTTTAAAGGTACTGCATATTGATATTAGGATGTAATTCCGATTATTGTACTTCTCAAAATAAGATACAGGTTTATGTGAAAATAGTTTCTGCCTTGGGTGAGGAATATCTCTGTAAACTTTATATCTAATTTTTATATCGTCTCCAACGAGCAAAAATTCCGTTTAGCAAAAAATCCATGATGTTTGAATAATTTAAATACAAAATGCATTAAGCTTTAATGCTGACAATTCTGAATAATATTCCTAATGAATTTGTCAGTTTAGGTCAATACCCAGTGCCTATTAATGGCGGAAATTTAATGTTGAATTTCGGAACCAACTACGAAACGTAGCTTATTTTGTCTATATAAGTCATTCTGCAGTAAGTAAAACTGAACTATTTATTGAATCTATAGTTAGCTGGTAGGGTGCAAATAATGATGTTATAGAATGAAACTGAAGCACTTAGAGAATTTAAGCCCTTTAAATTTCGAGCCAGTGTTCACACTTCGAATTTAATCAACAATAATTTCGAATTTTATCTGCAACAGCGGAGTGTGGATTTTAAACTTTCGACAGTGAAAGAAATACATTGAAGATAAAAATGGAGGAATTTCGGAGTTCAGAAAGGAAAAAATTGTTGGTGCTTGTCTGGCCGGTGTACTTGTAACTATATTAATGTTCGAAATTCAAAGAATTTTCACATTTGATTGATTACATCCAGAAGTGATAGAAGATTTTAATGAAATTTTATATGTGCATAGCATGATATAATACAAAAATATATACACTCATGACCATAAAAATTTGCTCACCAAGAAATAGTTGTCAGAATAAACAGAATTTTTTGTATACGAGTGCAACGTTGATATAAGTAACTAGTGACAAAATCAAAGCAAAAGGCTCATTATTTAGAGGGAAAACTACAAATGAATGGAGATATTACGTAGAATCCTGTTGCATTATATGAGCAGACAATGAGGCATACAGATCCAGCATAGTGCCTGGTATCATCTTATTCTAAAGTTGCTGTAAATGTGCCTTTATTTTCACCAAATTATTGAGATGTCCTACTTGCCATCTCAATTGGTGTCAAGCACGCTCAACTGGTGACGAATCGGAAGACCAGAGAGAGAGTCTAAAGAATGGTGGTAATGATGCGAAGGTAATCCTGTGATACCCATGTTATATGTGTTCGAGCACTGTCCTGTTGAAGAATTCCTCCTGACAGCCTGGCCGTGAATGGAAACAAATGTGGCTGAAAGTTGTCACGGATGTACCGTTGGGCTCTCGTCGAACCGTGGATTAATGTTAGAGGTGACTAGGTGATTAGTGCAAAGGCAACCCATAGCATAACAACAGCTATGAAGCGAAGTCAAGACTGAAACATTCACCACGGGACAACCGCCAAAAGTACATAATTGCTATCACTGTCCAAACTGAATCTCTATTCGTCGCTGAAGATTACCTAGTTTCATTTGACTGCGGCCCAATCTCGTCGAGTGCGACGCGACACCACTCAAAGTGAAGGGAGATGGTATGTGGGTGCCATTGACAACACACGGAACGTAGTATATGTGTATCAAGTGATATGACGATCCTATCGGCAAATTGGTTTGCCTAAGACTTCATGATCCTGCCCGCCGTGTACGCTACGTATCTTTTGTCCGCTTATTCCATCACCTCCGCACAGTAAAGCCAAAATGATCCACTTGGAGGGCTACTTGCCGACCTGATCACCAGAATTCTGTCATCCTAATGATATTTCCTCTGTCAAACTCTGACAGCCAGTCATATTGTCTTCGATGGCGGTGTAACGGCATCCCTAGTGAAAAAGAGCTTTCTGCAACAGATTAAGTGCTTGCAAAATGCTTCTGCATACGATTTGATGCGCCAGGGAGAAAGAAATTCAATTCCGTTTAGTGGCATTACCCAATGCACTATCGCTCTTTATTTCTACTCGTTTTCATAACTGCCCGTTAGGTTACTTCATGGCAAGTTTCATGGCAAGTTTGATTTACGAATGCTTCAGTCAAGAATTTTAAAATCCATTTAAGGCTTACATTTGTCATTTTGTTGTTTCGAGATATCGATTCCTAATTAGTCAGCTACTAATCAAACAAAAATTTTACGTTCTTGAAAATCTGCAAATCTGAAAGTATTTTTCTAAATTTCATTAAAGGTTTTCGCCGCTGCTGCACACATTTTCATACGTTTTCAATTTTACTGTATTTAGTCAAAGAAATGCCTCTTAGAAATTTCGGGGTTTTTAATGTTAAGTTCTGTCCTGAAAAAAATCTTAATCGTTGAAATTTTGGATTCTCTAAACTCAAAATTTAATCATAGTAAGCAACATTGGAAAAACTTGAACAGGACAGCTCTTTTTACATAGTTAGCAAAACTGGAATTCAACCGGAGCCTACTCCTGTACTTGATTAAAATTTCAAATTTTTCAACTTTTAAAACTGATTCTAAGCCTAACATACATTTGTTCTGATAAAAGCCGCAATTTTTTCAAAAGCATGAAAGCGAAAATGAGCATATGCATTGAGCGTACAGTTCCTGTGAGATCACGGGCATTCCCTTTTCATCCTGAATTAACGAATAGTTTTTGTTACTATGGGTAGCTTGCTCCAGTAGGGAAAAAAAGTTTTGCAAGCATGAGCAATTAAGCGCAGAAGCGGCGAAAATCTGTATTTTAATATGACACAGGACGAAAGTATTTCCTGAAAGTAGTGACCTTTCCCCCAGAAAACGCCGTCATTGACCTGTGTTGTGTCGACATTAATAATAAAACATTGTGCTTTTCAAATGTTCAGAGTATTCCTCTCGGAATACAATTGCTTTTGTACATATTTATTTACACTTTTAATAATAGGACGTTGTAAACCTAAAGTCACAGTCGGTATTCACCCAGGTTTATGTTATTAGAGTTAATGCTCTGCATACTAGACCGACCAAATCAATTTATTTCTATATAAATCGCTTTGGGACCATTCCTAATCGAAGAATATACAAGGTTTCCTAGAACGAATGGTGAAATTCCAAGAGGTTTCTGTAAAGTATGTTTTATAAGAAATTATTTAACAGGTTTTTTATTTTATTCAGTCGTCCGAAAAAATCCCGAATAAAATTAAAAAGTTTAATTATGTCCACTGTTAACTGAATAGCAAACATCATAGCGATGTTTAGTTTTGGTCTGTACTCTAGCAAGAATATCTGGTGTGATGTTTCTGGGATTCTGTCCTTAAACTGTTAAAATTACCAGATCTTTCACAATAAACTTCAATTTTGAAAAAGCCCCAGAGAAAAAGAAATCAAGAGCAAGACCAGGCCTTCTAGCAGTCCCCCAACCCCCAAAAAAATTGGCGTAGGTCCATTTCTACTAATCTATAGTTCTAGAAAAATGCGCTTAAACACATCATTTCATGATTCCCAAAATGGGGAGGTTTCCCATATTGTTGAAAGAAGATTCGCAACCTAGTGTCTTATAATAAAATTTGCTGTTGGCAAGGTGGTAGGGGAAGCGGCTGCCATAGCTTTGGGCTTGTGTTCGAATCTCGAAGAAGACATGCACGCTAATAAGATAGAGTATATTCACGGTACGGGGCCAGTAAAATACTGTCACGCAGAAAGTCTTCTTGAAAGGCTGGTGGAAAATGAAGAAGAGTGGAAGATGCTCATATCCCATTCATTGGGGAAATCTTCTTCAAGCTTATGAAGCTGGAAAAATTCGTATATTCTCTTAAAGTGCCCAAAGCCTAAGGCCAATGGCAGACATAAACCTTTCTTCTTACTCAGTATAAAATTCATGGACTTGATCTGATGTTACTATCAGACAAGTACGGTAAGTCACAACAACAATAACACAATTTTTTTTCAGTTTAAAGTATGCCTAAGTACAACTAAAATTGAGATTAATTTCAAAAAAGAAAAAATCCTTTAAAGTCTTGTTACTTATTGGACTGCACCAGACTCTCACGTTAAGAGAATCTCAAACACTTTCCTTTCTCTTATTCGCGGATTTTTAGACCCCCCTCCCCAAATGCAGCACTTGTAACGATTTATACATCTGTTTACATGATGCGTGGTTTCATCCAAGAAATCTTCATTATTAATATTCTTTAGCGTAATGGTGTCATAAATTACTAAAGGTTAAGATTCCAAATCATACGTTTTATGTAAAGTATGTACGCATGTTCAAAGCACAGTTCATTAAGGTATGTTCGTATTTTAAAGAGCGCACCCACAAGAAGAGAGACAATCTACAATCTTCTTTAGGATTCGAATCCGAGGCTAAAGATACAGCAGCCAGCATCAACCACTATAATGAACAAGGCAACTATTGCCAAGTTAAATTTTGCTTATTTTTTCTGATTCACTCTTGGGTATATTTCTAATATCTATCAAATTCTTTTAGCTCTGTCAAATACGAGCCTACCTTAATGAATTTTATTTCAGACATATTTTGCGTAAATTATATGATACGGAACCTCAATCGACAGTTATTTATGATAAAAAAAGCTAGAGAAAGATAGTAAGAGTGAAAATAACTATGATTTTTTATGGATTTTATTATTTAAATACAGCAATTAAATACAGCAGCGGTGATAAAGAAAAAAAATAAAAACCTAGTAGTTTTAGCAATTTGTCACTAGAGTTTTCAAAGGAAATGGACTGACAATGGCTTATTTAGTCATAATTTTCTTGTATATCTTATATTCTTTTAACGTTGTATTCAACTGCTCTAAAATTTGGTTTCAGAAACATCTAAACCGTCCTCTAATGGGGCGTGGTTAGGGAAACACAAACACGCAACGTTGTCTTTCTTCCGGTGGCAATTATTTCGAAACAGGTTACTTCACCTTGTAGGGGCATTCGTGTACTTAAAAAATTA